AAACGGTGCAACCCTAATATGGAGTTTATATAGGAATTTACAATTTACAGTTGCTTTTATTCTGTAAACTACTCATGATCCTTCGTATAAATTTATCATTACATTTTTATTTATTTATTTATTTATTTGACATGGACATCACAATTACACTGGACAACCAAATGCATTTGTTTAAGTGTTTTAGCAGACTTGCTAATTCTCAACACCTGTCCACCAAAGGCTTGACATAAAATAAAAATAAAACAGATACATATACACATTATAACTCTTTAAATAAAATTGCTGTAAGGCAAACGCAAAAGTGAAATGATCAAACAAACTATTTGTGTTAACATTGCTGTTTTGTTCTTAACCACTTTTTAAGAACACTGCTAAAAATTTCTATATTACTTTCTAATTTTAGGGTAACAGATAAATCATTCCACTATTTGGCTTCCTTAACAGAAAAAAAAAACAGATTGGCCAAAAGAGGTCTCACACTTTGGCACTAGACAATCACCATAAGCAGTTTCTAGTGTGACTCCATAAAATTCTGTCATTTAAAAAAAAAAAAGCTTTATATACTGTACATTCTTCGACAACACAAAACCGTTTCAGATCAGAAGACAAGAAATCAACATTTGGTGGAATAAGTAAAAAGTGTATTCTAGCTAACATTAATCTTCAGAATTCCCTTGTAAAATGCTGTAAATCTGTACTGACAATGTTTTTAGAAAATATTTTATAAAAATATTTTTAGATGAAGTGCCATCAGAACTTTACAGAATAAAACAATGTTAACATTTTACACAAACCCAAACCTAATAAATACAATAAATCTAGACAAACTGAGAGTTTTTAAGTGTGTCTCGTTATTGAATTAATTCTTCAATGACTTAACTCTTTCCATTCCTGTATTTATATATTTTTATATTTAAATATAACGTTTTTGTAAGTTTTACTTATTATTATTGTAATAATATTGCAATTTAAAAAAGGCACAATTCATTTATGTTCTCCCAACACAAATTGATTAAGGTTAACATAACAAACTTAAATAGCTTAAACATAAAACAATTAAGTTTTCCCAAAACATCTCCAACCCAACAATTGGGTTGTTTCAGCTGATTTTAAATATTTGAACAAGCAGCAAAAATATCTTTTTTAAGTGTGGCAGAAAAAAAAATATTTATTAGAATTTTCTTGAAAAATGCTGTATCTCTGTACTGACAATATTTTTATGTAAATTTTGAAAGAAGTGCCATCAGATCCTTATAGAATAAAACTATGTTAACATTTTAAACAGCACAAACCCAAACCTAGTAAATAAGATAAATCTAGACAAAAAACACAATTCATTTATGTTGTCCCAACACAAATTGATTAAGTCAACATAACAAATTTAAGTACAGCTTTAACATAATACAATTGTTACTAAAATAATACTAAAAGTAATAGTTTATGTCAGACCAATTTTCCATAATACATCATATTTATCTTATTATTTGAATATTATAATCTAAAAACAAGATTCTACTGTAAAACTGGTTGGAATTATTAAACAAAAGTAAATATTCTCTTCGGTTTTATCACGTGAGAGGCTTGACTTATTAACATTTCACTTGAAACTTCAAACGCATTTTGAAAGGATCGTCTGAAAGCCCGAGACTGTCATTTTCTCCTTTATTAGCGCTGATCTACATATGGGCCTGATGGGTGAAGGCTGTTCCACCGAGACGGCTCATGCATGCAGGCTGTTAGATCAGATAATAAATGACAGGAGAGAAGAAAAGAAGATCATCTCGCACATTCAGAAACAGCCTAAACTTAAATCAGGGAAAAACAAAAGGGGAGCTGAGCTTGACTGCTGAGTGAGAATATGGCAAGTGACCACGTTAAACAAATATACATTATGACTTACGTACATTACTAAATACCACACTGACTTGAGGTTAAGACACTGTGAGTGCAAAACACCAACACGGCTCTACAAAACGCAAACGAAACCAGATTTAATCCAGTCCCACCACACACACAACTGAGACACAAAACGCTTCTGAGAGCTGAAGTTTTCCCACCGTGTGCTTCATAGTGAGAGTGAGCGACAGTGTGGCCGCAATCTCAGCAAAAACCAAGAATGTGGGTAATTACTGTTAACTAGCCAAGCACTTGTTAGACGCGGCAATGGCCACACACCCCACGTTTCAGAGTGTGTGACGTTAACCGAGGGTTTGTTGTGGGTCCAATTCTGCAACAGCAGACAGTGAGGTTTGTGCCTTTGAGTTTATAACAAATCCAAGCAAAAGAGGACAAAGAGAGAGAGAGTTGTTCGTCATTTTATGAGTGTATTATTTGAGAAACGCAGACTGATGTGCCAAACCTTAGTGACGCACAGAGAGAAGAACACAAAACCGAGAGAATAAAATCAAAAGAAAATCAGCTTTAAAAAATACTACATGATCTCACACACACATGCAAATTCTCCTTTCCACAACAGAGAACGTATGGGAGAAAAGGCCATAGGAGACGAGGTTTAAGAAGGGATGCAATGGCGTCATGATGGCTGGAGTGCCACCTTCTGGACAATGTTTAAATAAGAACTGGTGCTCATGTGGTTCATAATGTGGTCTCTTAAGTGAGAAGGTTGATCATTTGGCCTAAGAAGATTAGCTAGTTACTGGATACAAATGAACGAAATATGGAAGAATTCGTCTCTCACCTTTCTAGAATAAAACGAATACTATCATTTTACTCAAATCCAAACACGCAGAGAAGAATTTTCAAATGGTCTTAATTTTTTCCAGAGCTATAAATCTTCTCTTGATGTTCAGGCTATGATCTACTTTTTCTGAGTACTGTATATGCATTTACTTAATGCAGTGTCGATAACTATTTTTAGTCTTTGTTTTTTTGATATGACAATACTTTTACAAACTCTATCAAATATACATTTGATCTAATTTAGGCTTTTTGCTTTCAGACACTTACAAAACTTTTACCTACAATCCTTATCAATTACCTGGTTTCTTGGTAATAAATAAATAAACAAAATTAACTAAATAAATTAATATTGGCAAAAACAACTAAACGAGGAATAAAGTGCATTGTATTGATACATTTTTATCTCTTTTAGTTCATTTTTAAAAAGTCCTTATCGTTATATGTTAAACTAAGAATGACCAGGATTTTCTTAAAGAAAACCGTTTTTGGATTAAAATTTTTTCTGTCTGGGTATAAACAAGGAAGTCTCAAACATATTTTGTAGATAATTTTACATTATGATATATTACTTTTTGAAGTCATAAAATTTGTATTTTTACATTTCATTAAAATTTGTTAAAAGTCTTGGACTCATTTACATGTAGTGTTAATATAATATGAGTAACAACAATTTTAGTTTATTAATTAGAATTTAATTTTTATATTTTTCATATTTTTTTCTATTTTTACACTTTTTATTATTAGAATATATATATATATATATATATATATATATATATATATAGAGAGAGAGAGAGAGAGAGAGAGAGAGAGAGAGAGAGAGAGAGAGAGAGAGAGAGAGAGAGATTGTTGAAGTCAGAATTACCCAACTTCTGTTTATTAGAAAGAAAAAAAATTTCAACACATTTCTGAACATAATAGCTTTAATAACTTATTTGTAATAACTGACTAATTATTTTCTATTGGATTCAAGTCAGGTGATTGGATGGGCCATTCTACAGAAATCTATACTCTAGTTTCACCTTCATCATCCTGATAATGTAGAATTTAGTCTGTAGCTGATAATATTAATTTACAATGACTGATGGCAGAGGGTTGCTGAAAAACTACTGAGAGATTTCAGCTGCTGTCTGGGCTTTCACTGTCTTTCTAAACCTCCATTTCTTCATGTGTTCAATACTTTTTCTTTGCATCATTTTATTTAATTATGCATAACTTAATTTGTAAACCAATTAAATAGTTTTCTTTGCATTTTGCTTTCTGAGAAAAATGGTAACATGTACAAAAAAAACAGACATTGCTTCCAAATTGTGGTTTAAAAAAGCATTAAAAAGGCAAATTAATCTAACTGATCTGGACAAAATTGAAGGGTACCAACAATTTTGTCCACATCTGTATATTTGTCCACATTCTGTGCTATATATCCCACAAAAGATGCTTTAAGTAAGGACAAAATATGTCACCGCTAAGTTGCTAAGAAAGGATTAGATCACATCTAGTCCAAGAGCTTGGACACCTCCACCCATTCACCTTTTATAGTCTAGTCCATGCACACACAGGCTCTTTAAAATCCTGTCTGCACTAAAGACGCCAGTCAGTAAACATACATCCAGCAAACGTTTAATGCCTGAGGAGTTTCCCCACTCACACAAGTTGTGCATCTTAAAAATGTGCTTGTCCAGGGCAGTTTCTCAGCTCTTTATGGCCTTTTATCTACATGAAAGGCCCTAGCTCTGGAAGAGCCAACATTACGGCTCCATCAAAGTGAAAGCTACTGACAGTGCCGTCCTCCATAACAGCTCAGGCCATTAAAGGCCCTGTCACAGAGCCTTCCCAGAGAATCTGCATAATATAACTTTTTTTTCTGGAAAATAGTGTGCAAAGACTTTAAAAGAAATGATGGAGAAACACTTACACCAATGTAAACAATCACAAACCTACAGTATATTAAAACAGAAATGTCTATTAAAATAAAAGAAACCTAGCAGTCTTTTTACTACAACTTCTTTCTAACCACTCTTTGTGTGCACTATTATATATAGCAAAAAGCTTCTATAGGAATAGGAAATCAACAAAAACATCTATTTATGTCATTTAACTGACGAACTGAGAAACATTCAGCAGGTATACCACAATAAAAAAGCCACAGAAAGAATACAGTTCAGTCGTTAAACTACCCTGTAATTGTATATTCAAAGTGAGCACTTCCAATTGATCTAAACAATGAGTTCTTGTGAAACATGTGAGTGAATAATATGTTGATGGTAATAAGTGGTTGTTTCGAAGGCTAGTCATCATACCTCCTGACACCGGCGCGTCCATGAACACTGCACCCATCTTCTCAGCAGCGACAGCCATCTCCTTAGACACTGCAGGGTCAATGGTGCTGGAGTCGATGAGAAGGGTGCCTTTTTTTACTTTCCTTAAGGAGGCGGCAAAATCAAAAAGAAGACAAATAAAGATGAAATGAATTGAATTATTCAATAATTTATCAACACGAGACACAGAGTGATTCAATTAAAGTTATCCACCGACTTCATTATTCAAAAGTAAAATTACACAACCAGCGAACCACCGACCTTCTTGCTGTGAGGCGACAGCACTACCTACTGCGCCACTATGTCGCCTTTTAGCAGAATGTTTTTAATTTATATTTGAAGTATATAGATTTGATCTGTCACTAGCTAAGATAGGTAGTGCTGTCGCCTCACAGCAAGAAGGTTGCTGGGTCGCTGGTTTGAGCCTCGGCTCAGTTGGCGTTTCTGTGTGGAGTTTGCATGTTCTCCCTGCGTTCGCGTGGGTTTCCTCCGGGTGCTCCGGTTTCCCCCACTGTCCAAAGACATGCGGTACAGGTGAATTGGGTAGGCTAAATTGTGTGTGTGTGTGTGTGTGTGTGTATGTGTGGATGTTTCCCAGAGATGGGTTGCGGCTGGAAGGGCAGCAGCTGCATAAAAACTTGCTGGATACGTTGGCGGTTCATTCCACGGTGGTGACCCCGAATTAATAAAGGGACTAAGCCGACAAGAAAATGAATGAAAATTAATGACGTGCCTGTTTTAGAAACCTGGATTAGAAGCTTAAGTTATGTGTTGCCCATGGAAGAAATGCAATATGGCAGTGTTTCTCAACTCGGGAACATTTTCAGTGGGTCTCGGAGTGTGTGATCAAAAGTTTAATTTTTAACTTATTTTGCTAATATCAGACTTTTATTTTAAAATGCGTGTGCGACAACCGTACCGTTTGACATGTGAAATTTCAGCGCAAGTACAACCCCGAATATGTAAAGTGAGGATTTACATGTATTGACAACAAAAAAGGACTTAAAACCTCATTGTATCATATGTAGTGAGGTGCCCTCACAACAGAGCATGAAACCTTCTAAATTAAAACAACATTTAGAAACCAAACATCCCAGTTGCAAGGACAAATCTGTGGACTATTTTCAAAGACAATTCCAATAGCTGAGGGCATGACAAAAGTGCCTAACATCTTCATGTTCAAAACAAGTACAGGCTCTCTGTGCAACTTACAGTGCTCACCGTGTAGCAACAGCCAAAAGAGTCCACACAAAAGCAGATGAGCAAATAACTGGTGATTATTATAAAAATGGTTATGATTATTTTAATCATTTTACTTTAATTTGCTGGTTTGTTCTGTTCAACCGGATCAGCATTAATGTTTTATAAACAGTACAGTTTGGTTAATAGTAACTTAACTTTTCCTCACCCTAACCACTGTTTACAGTATTTGACGTTTTAACTTTGTAATATTTCTATAATTTGGCTCATTTAGTTAAATAACAGCCATAAAATATTTTTATTTGTAAGTCTTGGTGATTTTCTTATGATTTATCTGTCACAACTTGTGTATGTTAACAAATAAATGAATTATAATTCCTAAAATATATATTATAGTTCCTAAAAATTTGGGTCACGGCTTGATGACCATGTAAAAATGTGGGTCCCATGGCCAAACCAGTAGAGACCATTGCAATGTGGGATGGCAAACAAGCCAAACATTTTTTTTTTAAATTTTGAACCCAATATTGTTTTATATCAGTAATGCTGACTTCTATTTATAGGTGAGATTGATTTGGCATATGTCGAGTTATGGAGCCTACACATTATGCCTACAATAGCCTACAGTAGCTACACAAGTAATTACATTTTTGTATTTAATTCAATTTTTTTTCTCTCTTATGCTTTCTGGATGATATCATATTATCTTATATATTGTACTAATACTAATTAATTAATACTAATGATTTTTTTTTCTAATGAGTGTGTGACAGTTTAGTTTATTTAAGGGTTTAAGCACACTTTATTAAAAAAAATAAAAAAATAAATACAAAATAAAGCTATATGTAAAATTGAGCTAAATCAAGTAGTAAACAGTGACATATTATTTATGTCCCAAAGAATTGTTCATACTGTGGCCTCAAACCAACAGGAACTTAAAGGGAAAGTTTACCCAATAATCTAAATTTACTCATTATTTACTTACCCTCAAGTAATTCCAAACATTTAAGCTTCTATTTTTCTAATGAACACAAACTAAGATATTTGGAAACCTGAATACATTGACTTATAGGTAAAACAAATACTATGGAGTTGCAATATTATCTGTTATAATATATATCTGCCGTTACATCAACATAAACTTCAATGACATCTCAATATTAATCCATAGGGTTTACTAGCAGTGTGTTTATAGAAAATTTAAAAACATTTTTCCAGAAGTGCATTTGTGAGGTCCTGACCATTGGTGTAGGATAAGAAGGTCTGGCTCACAGGATCTTGAGGTGTGAGGTGTTGGGTTGGGAGTGGGGTTAAGGTCAGGACAATCTCTTTCAACTTTCCTAAACTTATTCATCCATGTCTTTATGCACTATGCTTCATGCACTGGTGCGCAGTCATGTTGGGTCTAAAAAAGGTTATGACCAAACTTATCTAAAAATCTGGACGCATGAACTCTTCCAAAATGTCTTGTTATGCTGAGCATTAAAAACTAAGGGACCAAGCCCAATCCCTGACAAACAACCACACACCATAATCCCTCATCCACCAAACATTAAACTTGGCACAATGCAGTCAAGTAAGTACTGTTCTCCTGACAACCACTAAAAGCCAGAATTGAGAAGTGTTTGTTAATTCCAGAAAACTCACCTCCACTGCTTGCTCTAATACTATATGTTTTAAACTACTGCATAATAGAAATGCACTATTTTGCATTATACTTGGTGATTGAAGGTTTGGATGCAGCTGCTCACCATGGAAACCAATTTCATGAAGTCTTATGTTCAGTGTTCTTAAGAAGGCCACATGATGTTTGAAGGTCTATAACTACTGACTCTGCAGAAGTTGGCAACCTTGGGCCACACTTCTGCATTGCAGCCACACCACCACCTCAGGTTCAAATTTTATTTTTTTCTCCTTTTTTTTATTTAAACGACCTATTATTAATTATTCCTTACTTATACTATGGGAACGTTGAATTCTTTATTGTAATGGCTGATGAACATTTATGTGTGCAATTATTTTTAGATACTGCAAGCTCACATCTAAAGTGGTCCAAGACATGCTCTGACTATATTACAATTCCATAATATTGTGCCATTAATTTTAACAATGTGTAGTTATGTTGTAATTGCCTACAATAATCAAAAATAAAGCTGTTCGAGGAAAACCTTCAGGTGCATTGTATAACAAAAATATTGACTGGTCTGTTAAATTATTACAAAATAAGGCACACCCAAGGTGTAACATAACTTTGCAACACTTCGAGTGTGCATTATTTCTAACAATTAAATGGACCATAGTTAATAATACCTTACTTAAAATGTTTTCATTTTAAAAGGTGCCATATAATAACAATTTAGATATATCTAGGCATAACTGAATAATAAGAATTCAACATGGCTGTGTCTGAAAAATAATTCATTAAAAACAGTATGCGAGAAGTATCTACTACTTCCGATGAGATTCTGAAGTGTACACGCAATAGACGTTACACTATTCCCTCATGCCACATGAGATAATTCATGAATGGGAGTGAAGCGATGCAACTGATGTGGGTACTAGGTCACTCGAAAAAGACAAATGATGGATGTAGTATGCCCAAGTTCCATTTTAAACAGTCATGTAGTTAATTCAAATTCAAGTGTAGTACCTACTCGAGTAGTAGGTAATTTCAGATGCAGCCCATGACTTTGTTTTCTGTGTTGCTAAGTAAGAACAGAAGTTGGATCCGTCTACAGCTTGCCCGAATGCAAAATGTGGGATATCTGAATTATGCCCAAAAAGGCATGAGGGATGTTTAATCTTTCGTTCATTTATTGTGTATATTGTGAAATTTGCTGTGTATGTTTGTAATAAGGAAAGTGTTTAATGCATATTTATGCATTGTGTCATATCGCTCAGCACTGTGATTCCTCTGAAGTAAATGGAAAGCAATACACTTTATTTAACTCTTATGTTTAATTCTGTGTTTTCATACGGTTGGTCCCTTTTGTAAAGTATAATTACACTTTAGCCTATATTTCATCCACAACACAAGTCAGGGAAAAATAAGTAGGGTTTTCTGATACATTAATGATAGCTAGCTAAAATAAACCTTTCTACCACTACCGAATTCAACAAAGACATCTACTCAACTTGTTAAAATATTTTTTGACAATTGAAGTATGATTATGTCGCATGTGTTTATTTCAGAGTACATTTGCAATTTAGCAAAAGCTGTCTTGCACATCATGTGAGAAAAGTACAGTGAAGTGATCAGTAGAAAATTTACTCTGAAGGCAAGAGTGAACTCTCTCTTGCCAGTAGCATAAAGCAATCAAATATGCAGGAAACACCAGTCTATGGTAAATCTTTATAGCATAGGATAAACATAAGATATAACAGCTTTCATTTGACTCAATGGGATTAAAAAACACGACCACAGTAACGTTTTTTCCGAATCCTTCTTATTAGAATTTCCTGATAATAAAAGTATGTAATAATGCAATGCCTCTGTCACTGCTTAGAAAGCTGTTATTAAGTTTACTGCATGCTTTAGGATTAAGTTTTATTTAAAAACTTCGTTAAATGTGGTATTTGCACAGGCTTTTAACAAGTTTAACATTATCAAAATTGATTACAAAAGGCTGTAGTTCAAAGAGAAGCTACGCAAACAGCTGTCAATATTGCAGAATGATTTTTTGCAGTTTGATTATGACATGATGATATAATACAAATTTAGACTGTTTTCATCATGGCTGCAGTGACAAGGGTCAATGTTTAAATTTATTACAACTTGTAGTAAGTTGTAATAAATTTAAACATTGACCCTTGTTTATTTTCACCATGTACACCCTTTGCACGATGCACAATTTACACTCACCGGTCACTTTATTAGGTCCAACTGCTCGTTAAGTCAAATAATCAGCCAATCACATGACAGCAATTTAATGCATTTAGGCATGTAGACATGGTCAAGACAATCTGCTGCTGTTCAAACCGAGAATCAGAATGGGGAAGAAAGGTGATTTAAGTAACTTTAAATGTGGCATGGTTGTTGGTGCCAGACAGTATTATCTGAGTATTTCAGAAAATGCTGATCGACTGGGATTTTCACGCATCTTTTTTCATCTTTAAGGTTTACAGAGAATGGTGCGAAAAATAAAAGATCAATTGAGCGGCAGTTCAGTGGGCACAAATGCCTTGTTTATGCCAGAGGTCAGAGAAGAATGGCCAGACTGGTTTGAGCTGATAGAAAGGCAATAGTAAAACAAATAAAAGAGGTGAACGAGCTACAGAAGCAGCAGAATACCCCACAGGGTACCACTCCTGTCAGTTAAGAACAGGAAACTGAGGCTACAGTGCTCACAGACTCACCAAAATTGGACAATAGAGGATAAGAATAATGTTGATGAGTCTTGATTTTTGCTGCTATATACGGAGGGTAGGGTCAGAATTTGGCGTCAAAAACATAAAAGTATGTATCCATCCTCACTTGTATGCCTGGAATTGGTGGTGTAATGGTGTGGGGGATATTTCCATGCACACTTTAGGCCTATTAGTACACATTGAGCATACCCGAGTATTGTTGCGGATCATGACCATCACTTTATGACCACAGTGTACCCATCCTCTGAAGGCTACATTCAAAAGGATAACGCACCATGTCATAAAGTGCAAATCATCTCAGACTGGTTTCATAAACATGGCAATTAGTTCAATGTACTCAAATGGCCTCCACAGTCACCAGAACTCAATCTAATAGAGCACCTTCAGGATGTGGTGGAAGTTCGCATCATGGATATGCAGCTGACAAATCTGCAGCAACTCTGTGATACTATCATGTCAATATGGACCAAAATCTCTGAGGAATATTTCCAGCACCTTGTTGAATCTATGCCACAAAAGATTAAGGCAGTTCTGAAGGCAAAAGGGGGTCCAACCCGGTACTAGTAAGGTGTACCTAATAAAGTGACCAGTGAGTGTATATGCACAGTGCAATAGAAAATAGTATTGTAGTAGATAAATAAACCCACAGCAACTGCCTTTACCCGACTTCAAAAATGAAATACAAAAATAAAATAAATAATGACCCCAAATCTCTTTTTTTCCTTGCAAACACTGATGTAATCGCAAGACTGGTGTTATTTAAATTAGTAGTTTAGAATCTATTGTTTCAATGCATTTGTTTGCTAGATTATTGGTATGAAAACCTTCTTAGGGATTAGCTGATCTGATCTTAAAATAAAATCTTACATAAAATCATCTAATATTAGTTTTCAACCTACCAGGGTTAAAATTACATGCACTTCCACTGGTGTTCAGTGTGATGAACTTTTAAGAGCTTTGAGATCATCTAACTGTGGCTTAAACTACATCATTTAATTTTGTGTGCTTTAGCACTTCATACATTTTATTTTATTAGATTGATTAAATTGCAGCATTAACAAGTTAGAAATAATCAAATCTAGAAAATCTGACAGCACTATAAACCAACATATTTACACAGCAGTGAATACACCAGTATTCTAAAAGCAAAGTTATAAAAACATTCTGTAACACAGTATTACAGTTATATTTTACTGTGCTGTCCAGCAGTTTTTATGTCTCTCCTCTTGTAAACCCCCACAGACTAGATTTTTCCAGAATTAAGGTAGATTTAAAAGAATTACTAGATTAAAAGAATTACTGTACTAAGCATATAGTGAGTGGAAACTCTTTAATCTTAAGGACTATTCCTAATCTTTATAATTGACCCAGACAACTGCTGTGAAGAAATGTATATATCTTGTATATAAAACTACTTGTCTCAAGCTGTTAAACATATACCATCAACATGCCCCAAGGAACAGTATTTAAAGTAATAATAATGATTAAAAACTTGTAGTGAGTAAATAATTTGGCAGCTTTTTAAAAACTTAATACTCATCAATCTCTGATTTCCTGCATGTTCGTAGAGGTGATATTAAAAAATGAGGTATTTTCCCCCTGACAATGCAGATGTACATTTTTCCCCCAATAAAACTATAATAACTCTAAAAATCTAAATAATGATAATTATAGGTTAACCGCAAATATAGTAAATTATCATCATGTTGAAATGTAACTATGCTGTTATATAAACTGTATAAAAACACTATAGTGTGAATACATCAAGTAAAAATGTAAAAGCAATAACCTAATAACAATTTATGCAACAATATTAAACTTTAAAAAGGTATTCATATCTTTTAATTTTAAAATTTGAGTGAACCCACTGTCTTAAATGCAACAAGTTGACTTTACATTAAAAAGCGAGCAAACCCGTTTTAATTAGGCTTAAGCTATGTTAAGCATTGTTGGTTTAATTTAATTTTTGACTAATGCACATACACTACCTGACAAGTTTTAGGAACAACAAATAATAACTTGACTTGTAATTGATCATTTTATATGAGAAGTGGCTAAAAGGCAAAGGCCTTTAGATTATGCTTATTTTACCAAAATAAAATATGATCATGCCTTGATTTAATTATTTAATTAGGACAGTAAGGTCTGACTTAAACAAATGTCTTGTAACTTAACTGAAATAATGATCATTATAGAATATAAAGTCATGGTGTAGAGAATTAATATTGTGTATACTCAAATGAGCTTGGAGGACTGTATCCATACATCTCTGCAATGACTCAAATAACTTCTTAATAAAGTCATCAGGAATGGCAAAGAAAGCGTTCTTGCAGGACTCCCAGAGTTCATCAAGATTCTTTGGATTTATCTTCAATGCTTTCTTCATTTTAACCCAGACATGCTCAACAATATTCATGTCTGGTGACTGGGCTGGCCAATCCTGAAACACCTTGACCTTCTTTGCTTTCAGGAACTTTGATGTGGAGGCTGAAGTATGAGAAAGAGCGCTATCCTGCTGAAGAATTTGCCCAGTCCTGTGGTTTGTAATGTAACAACCAGCACAAATGTCTTTATACCTCGGGCTGTTTATGTTTCCATCCACTCTGCAAATCTCTTGCATACCCCCATACTGAATGTAAAGCCAAACCAAGACTTTTCCTTCCCCAAACTTGGCTTATTTCTGTGAGAATCTTGGGTCCATATGGGTTCCTAAATGTCTTCTGTAGCATTTGTGATGATTGGGATGCAGTTCAACAGATGATTCATCTGAAAAATGTACCTTTTGCCACTTTTCCAAATAATCAAGTAGAAGTCAGGTTAGTATTTGTTGCTCTTACAACTGGGATCGACAACAAGATAGACAAGGTAGTTTGTATATTTACCTAATATTTTAAGGCAAATGATTCACAAATGTTTAAAGTAAAGTCAACTAATAATTTTTACAGTGAAATCTTTTATCAGATTTAATATACATCAACATTAATAATAAGATAAAATCCATATGTATATCTTTCAAATATGATGGTGTAGTTTACTACCGTAAAACCAATCCAACCTCTAACTGGATTATTCATGGCACAATATTTCTCGTTTGTCAAAGCCGTTGTGAACCTCAATGCTTTTCATCAGGGTTTAAAGTAAATCACAGAGACATTTATGTTCTTTGCAATATTACATTCAGAACAGGTCTTTTGATTGATTCAAGACCTATCCACATGTAAACAAGTCACTGCTATTGGGCTGTCCATCTAGTCCATACAAGCAGCACTATTTAGTTCCACTTTGAAGCATAAGCATTATGAGGAACATTTATCGAACACTTGTCTTGTTGATGGTAATTATATTGCAATAATTATACACTATGTAATAACAATTTTTAAAAACTTGAAAATTCAACTATTTCCTCAATATGGTAAAATTCAGTCAAATTAAAAGGAGAATTAATTTTGAGTGAACACACCTAAGGATGCCATTGGATCCTGTATAAACCTCAATGACGTTGGGGCTGGACGGTAGCATGGTGATGATGCGGTCTGCTTTTTCGGCCACTTCAGCAGGGCTATCTAGGATCTGCAAGAAAAAGAACCAGTGGTTATTTCCATTAAGGTCGGTCAAATACAGATCTGTACTGGATAGACATTAAAGAAAACTGAAAAACAGTAATTCTCTTTTGAGACTCTGTTTTTTGAGAACCAGACATTTATACCTGCGCTCCTGAATCCTGAAGCTCTTTGCAAGACTCCGGGAAGGCATCCGTAGCAATGACAGGATATCCGTTCTTCAGTAAATTTCTAGCCATAGGTGTGCCCATGTTACCCAGTCCAATAAAACCCACTGGAGTCTTGGAGGCCATTGATCTACAGGATACTGAACAACAGACACATATCATGATTTAAAAAGAACAAATATCTCTATGGCAAACAAAAACCTCAAATAGTGCACCAAAGCTGGCAACATTAGTCATGCAAATATTTTGTGATACAGTTTTGTGGGCATTCCAAAATACTGTGAATCATGATAAATAAATTACTTTGTAAAAGTTTAAAAAGCTGTACCTTTTTTTCAGATCCAATAGGTTATGTTCTTCAAATTCTCTATTGTTTAGCTCTTCACATCTTAGTATCCCTGCTGAAAAAAACAGCCTAAACCAGCTTTGGCTGGTCGACCAGCCTGGTTTTAGAAGGATTTTGGCCATTTCCAGGCTGGTTTCCAGCCATTTCCAGCCTGGTCTTAGCTGGTCAAGCTAGAAAATAACAAGCTAAAAACAGCTTGACCAACCTAGCCAGGCTGGGAGCCCAGTCAAAACCAGCTATGTCCAGCTTAAACCAGGCTGGTCCAGCTGGTTTTGGCAGGTAATCTCCCAGCCTGACAAGCTAAGACCAGATGGAAAATGGCTGGAAACCAGGCTGGTTTAAGCTGTTTTTTCAGTAGAGTAATCATTAAATTAAGTGGTCTAAAATGCATTGACATGATTTTATTACTCTGTGAAGGGTCTAGGACAATACAAATAGTTTGTCAAATTAAAATGTTCTATATGAACATTGCCATATGTTGTCCCTGCCTGTCAATATATGTTTTGCATACCTCCAAGTATCCTGATCACACAGAAATGATTAGGTCATCAGCACATTCACGGATGCAGTTAAGACAGAAAATTGTAGGCAAACATCAACAACTAACCTTCTTCTATTATGTTTGTTATTGTAATTAACAATTCTCCACTATAACGTTTTCTCTCTGGTGAATGTTACTTGATGTATTGTTGTCTACGGTGCGCTTTGTTAATTTGCTGCGTGGGAAATAGGCTTTCAGTACTATGAGGTTATTGCTAATATTTTTGCTAATATTTTTTTCAAGATCTCCTATTTATTTAATGCATTCTTTAATGGAGTTAATAACTAATACAACTGGGTTGCAATTAAACTAAAAATGTAGCCATTTCTCACTGTTGATGTACATTTTAATGAGACATTATTGTAAAGTGTAATCTAATACCTACTGCACTTTATGTGACTTCTTAGTTTCTAATAATGGGCTGAACTTGCAGTTTAGGAAATTTCCATTCAAAATAACGATCCAATTATTTTAAATAATGATGTTTTGATAAGCATACTAATATATGTTTGTTTTTGTGATTGTACTTTATATTCATGGTGTTATAAAAATAACATTGCAATTGGTATTTTAGTGTGACAGTAAATATTCACATAATTCATGCAAAGGATCATTAGACAGAGAAAATGGGTGCACAATTCTTTTGCAATTTCATTTATTTGAAAGATGTTTTACATCAAACAAACAAGCAAACAAAAAGTACTTGCTTTTTGTTATTATAATTTTAATAAGCCTTTAGCAGCATATGTCAGCATCCTGATAATACCATTGTGATTAAAAACATCGGCAATTATTGCCACAAATTCAATTATACATGAGATGTTTTCTCACCATATGAATTAAAAGACCTGAGATAAGGAGCTTACTAAAGGGATCATGTAAAAATCAATGACAGTATAAGTTAAAGTCAAGTATAAAATAAATCTAATTCATGGAGTTATTAGGTTAAGCACATAATAAAATATTTGCCATATGAAAACTTAAGTGACATAAAAGCTTAATTGCATTCTAAACTTGTTAAAAAGGTAGATTTTTAAAATAGATACTTAAAACATTGAAATGGTTAATAGTTTACAGTTTAAGAAACATTTTAACTATAATATGCAAGCTATGAGCTCCTAAACCCCAACTGGATTGCACAACTTGTATTGCTTAAAAAGTAAACAGTGCATTGCATATTGTGCACAATGCCTGATCATATATTTCTACAGACATGCTCAAGCATACTCCACGTATGTGCACAAAACTGACAACAAAATAAAAAAAAAAGAAAAATCTAAATTCCCGAACCAAGTTACTCTTTGCAATAACATTAACGGCGTATTTATCAACTTAGTCTGTCAACAGACGATTAATGAGGAAATGACCTACCCAATATGAGCTCCACATGTTTATTGCTTCTTTTATAAAAATTCCGATACCCTCTAAACAAAGCGGCCATGCTTATTCCCCTTGACCTCAGCGCCTAGAGACAGTTGTGTACGAGTCAGGAACACAGGGGGCGGGTCCTATGACTGACATCTCCCTTCCACCAATCACTGATACGGATTTGATTATCAACCAATTAGATCGAGATCGTCGTTCAGATATCATGGAGTTTCTCCCCGCATTCATGCTGTGATTTCTTTGAATAGAATTAAGGAGATACTACTTAAAAGATTAAGAATGGCTAGACGTTTTTGACTTCTAAGCGAATGTATGGTCACTGTATGAACTTGTTGTCCTTGCGCTTAAAGGAGAACAACCACACTTTGCTCCGAATCCAAAACACAGTTGCTAAACAAATGAAAAAATACAAAGACCCTTTCCTAGTACATGAATAAGGTTTCTGAAGTTCTCTTTTCTGTTGTAAAATTGTTTAAAGATCTTTAATTCGTCTCGTAACGTTATTCAACTTATATGAAACAACAATTCTACAACTGTTTGTGAGGCCTTATAAATGATCTGTTTGCTTTGCTCGATAATTGCATTACATTTTCTACCCTCGCTTTTCATACATTATACTCGATTCAATGTATAAAAAACGCATTTCATTGATTAAACTGTTCCAATTTTCAATTCAATCACAGTTTCCATATAGTTCCATGATAGTGTACGCTTAGCATTTTCTATTTATATGTTTTAATGAAGCAATAACTAACTCGTAAACGAATCGTCCTTTTAAACCTTAGAAGTGAACTGAAATGATTCTCTCACGAACTGAATCTTAGCTTACAAGTAAAACATTCAAGGTGAACCGGGGTCTCTTTTAACCGCATAGTGTTCGAGAGGACACAGATTCGCTCGAAAGAGTCGGACCCATCGCTCTTTTGTGGGGGTTCACCACTAACCAATGGTAGTACAAGAATATCTGTGACATGAATAAATAAACCAATCACAGAGCGCGACCTACCGGAAGTTTCATGACGTATCTAGGTCCCAAAACATGTTGACACCCGGTTCAGTTTTATGACAGGGACGCTCTCAGTCTGCGTTGACTAGCAATCTAAACAACAAGAGTTATCAGATCTTCAAGTTAACATGGATTACAGGTATAATAGATTTATTCAGCGATGACTTGTATATTTATAGTGACAATTTTGGAAACAGAATTTGTAATTGCGTGCTTGTTATCGCAATGTATTTAGGGCTGGGATTGCAGTGAAGAGATTAAAACTCATTTCATTAGCTCATTCTCTAAGGTCACCGGCAGTAATAATTTTGGCGTATAATATAGGAAAAGGAACGCATTTTACTATACGTTTAGTGCAACTATCATTAAAACCCGCAGTGGCTTGTTATTTAGCAACATAATTCAAGAGAAACTGCATATACAGTAGGCTACCTTTCGGTTAAAACAGACATGTTTCAGTAAGACAAAGAATAGTACGTTTTTAAGCTTTTGTATCGTCAGTTCGGGTGGAATATATATATTATTGTAAAATAAATTAGCTGTCGACGATAAAGGCCTGGAAAGGGATGACAGCACCATCAGCAGTTCCATGAATACAGGCCTACTCGGCATCGCCCCATCCAGCCTGAACTAGGGCAGGTCTTCCTTATGCAGCTCATTTATAAACCATTTCTATACATTACAGTTTTAGCTAAGGTAAATATGTCCTAATAACATTTTCATAACATCCTTTTTACGTTTTCTGAATGCTCTTTGTAAACGTCTGCTTTTCTACATGTTTAAAAAATATGTTAAACAAGATTTTTCTTGTTTTGATTAATGCTGAGGAAACTTTCCATTTTATAATTTGCAACCAACATGGGAACGTTATGTTTTCTGAACATTCTAAGATTCGTTCAGCTGCAATGTTTTAGGCAAAGTACCATAGACAACGTAAAATATTCAATATTCAATATTATTACTAAACATTTATCCTCAAAAACATAAAGGCGACATGAAGAATATTCATTCAAAACTTTGAGAGAATGTTAGACTTTCATACGCCAATATTTTTAAACTTTTAAAGTAACACTATGAACTAAGAATTTAAACATGCATATCAGAAATTAAAATTAATCAGAAGATACTTAAAATGTAGATTTATGTAGACAATTTTTATAATACTTGATTCTTATAGGTTCATTCATTCATTCATTCATTAAATTTTTGGCTTAGTCCCTTTATCAATCGGGACTCACCATCAGAATGAACTGCCAACTTATCCAGCATATGTTTTACGCAGTGGATGCCCTTCCAGCTGCAACCCATCACTGGGAAACACCCAAACACACTCATTCACTACAAACATTTTGGCCTACCCAATTCACCTATACCGCATGTCTTTGGATCTGTGAGGGGAAACCAGGAAACCCACGCAAATATGGGGAGAACGTGCAAACAGAAACACCAACTGATCCAGCCAAGGCTCGAACCAGCGACCATCTTGCTATGAGGCGACAGTGCTACTCACTACACTACCGCACCACCATTCTTATAGGTTAATCATAATAAATGATGAAGTATAAAAACGGGACAAGGTCTAATAATTCATCTTTTTTTCTCATTCATTCATTTTCTTTTCGACTTAGTCCCTTTATTAATTCCTGGTCGCCACAGCGGAATGAACCGCCAACTTATCCTGCACGTTTCATGCCTCGGATATCCTTCCAGCCGCAACCCATCTCTGGGAAACATCCATACATACCCTTTCACTCTCATATACTAAGGACAATTTAGCCTTCCCAATTCACCTGTACCGCATGTCTTTGGACTGTGGCGGAAACCGGAGCACCCGAAGAAAACCCATGCATACGCACGGAGAACATGCAAACTCCACACAGAAACGCCAACTGATCCATGCCAACTGCTCAAACCAGCGACCTTTTTGCTAATCAGCGACAGCACTACCTACTGCGCCACTGCGTCAACCATCTTTGTTTCTGTGAAACCAATAATTTCTAAATAGCTGTGCATGGATTTTGGTTTTTACGAGTAAAACAGGAGAATATAATTAATATTTAATATGCATTGATTTATTAATTTGTAGTTAGCAGCAAAAATGCAGAATAATATATAAATAAAATATCTATTGGGGTGTATTCTGCAGTAATGATCATTTAATTGAATGTTTTACCTTGTGTGAATGTGTAAATTAAACAGAATTGCTTCACAATCTTCATTCCTTCTGCTTCCAGGTAGAACAGTCACAGGCATTCCTAGATCACTTACGATGTCGTCATCCTGTAACGTGGGAGCATCTGCAGGTGGAGGAGGAAGTGTTGTCATGGAGACATCCAACTTCGCCCATGTCATCTTCCAGAATGTTGGGAAAAGCTTCCTCCCTCAGGCAGCTCTTGAATGTCATTACACACTCACTCCTTTCATCACACCACATCCAAAAGACTGGGTTGGAATCTTTAAGGTTGGTGCACTCACACATGTCTACAAAAAAAACAACTGCTTGTCATATACAGAGATGCTATTCAATTTAAAAACACTTTTTTTCTAGCTTTTGCTTTCATGTTGAAATTTAATCTCACACTTAATCAAGAGGAAATGAGTGCACGGAAACTTTACATCTTGTTAAGATACAATGACCGTTTATGACTATATAAAAGGCACTTCAAATCAACCAGATCTTTCCATACAACATTTAGAGTGGTGGGTAAAGGGGAAAATTGGATAGGGGGAAAATAGTTAATCTGCTCAATATCACTCTTGTTTTGATGGTTAGTTTATGGAACAAGAGGGTTGTGGCTTGAATCTGTCTGTGTATGTGTTCCCATGTGTGTTTTGTTGGATGTTGTGGGCTTTTCTTATGACAACTGAATCCTTCCCCATGGCTTCATTCATTCGTTAATTCATTCATTAATTCATTTTGCGATAGGATTTAGCGTTACATCAAATCTCTCTTAAATTGTGTAATACATAAAAATATAATTGTAGCGAGACTTTAATGTTACACTAATCTAAACGAGTGGGTCAACTTTAATAATATATATAGTTGAAGTCAGAATTATTAAACCCCTGAATTATTAGCTCCCCTGTTAGTTTTTCCCCCAATTTCTGTGTAACAGAGAGAAGACTTTTTCAACACATTTCTAAACATTAGTTTTAATAAGTCATTTCTAATAACTGATTTATTTGATCTTTGCCATAATGACAGTGAATAATATTTTATTAAATATCTTTTAAGATGCTTCTATACAGCTTAAAGGGACATTTAATCTTAGACTTAACTAAGTCATTAGGTTAACTAGGTAGGTTAGGGTAATTTGGCAAGTTATTGTATAACTATGGTTTGTTCTGTAGACTATCAAAATATATTTATAAATAATTAAATATATATATATATATATATATATATATATATATATATATATATATATATATATATATATATAGCTTAAAGGGGCTAATAATATTGACCTTAAAATGGTGTTTAAAAATCTAAAACTGCTTTTATTCTAGCTGAAATAAAACAAATAAGACTTTCTCCAGAAAAAAAAAAAAAAAATTATAAGACATACTGTGAAAATTTCCTTTCTCTGTTAAACATCATTTGGGAAAGATTTAAAAAAAAAAAAAAGTTAAAGGGCGGCTAATAAATGTGATTTCAGCTGTATATGGAGTCATATTTAAATAATCAATGAGGTTATGGGGGAATTATTCCTCAGGCACTCAAAAATATTTAACGCACACACCTTTATTTGTGTAATCCCATTTATTGCTTTATGAACCACAGGCTCCCTCTGGTGGCAATGAGAAAGTACTTTTTCAGTGAATTGCATAATTTAGAGATAAGAGATTACTGCTAACATTTTCTAACACTTTCTATCTATCTATCTATCTATCTATCTATCTATCTATCTATCTATCTATCTATCTATCTATCTATCTATCTATCTATCTGTCTGTCTGTCTGTCTGTCTGTCTGTCTGTCTGTCTGTCTGTCTGTCTGTCTGTCTGTCTGTCTGTCTGTCTGTCTGTCTGTCTGTCTGTCTGTTTGTTTGTCCTAACTAGATCAGTAGATCGAACGATAGATAGAATGGTAGATAGATATTACTAAACTAATTAATCTATCAAAATATTTAATGAATAAATATAAAAATAAAACTATTAAATTATTAAATGCAGTGATACTAAAATGGCACAGGTACAGATGTTTTTTACTCACCTGAAATAATAAATGAAATGCTTTTATTCAAAATGCCACTGGTTAATAGAAGATTATCTGTTTATCACTTTATTGTTCAACAAATGTTTAGCTCTTTCCTAGAGATGGGTTCAGCTGGAAGGGCATTCGCTGCGTAAAACTTATGCTAGTTAAGTTGGCGGTTCATTCCACTGTGGTGACCCCAGATTAATAAAGGGACTAAGCCGAAAAGAAAATGAATGAAATGGTATTTCCAGCTTGGACACAGTCTATGTTGTGGTTGAAAAATCTTCTCTTTACATTTGATAGGCTGAACAAACATAGTATTCTTTATCAAGGAGAATGTTGAGGCACGTCGAAAACAGCCTTCCTTTAAGCAATACTACAATGCAGTGTAATCATGCATACACATGCATACTGTAGGTTTAAGCACAGAAACACACACTTGGGTACCATATAATTAACTTGTCGTGCACATGCCGAACATGTCCTTATGCACCTGATTTATAGTGAAGTCAGCCCTCTTATTATTTAATTTATCATTTAACAGTCCTGTATGTACAAGTATGGTTGTTTGAAACACACCAGAATACCTTCTCTCTCACTCTCTCCTCTTGCTCTCCTCTTCTCTGTAATTAATAGGTGATTTCTTCACAAACAACTCTGTGTCAGATGAAAGCAGAGTACTTTCCGTAAAAAAAAGGAATTACAGATGTGATATATAGTAATCAAAGTAAATGTTAGGTAGTGTTGTGAAAAATCACAAAGACAAATTGCTGACTGACTGTGTGTGTGTGTGTGAGTGTGTGTGTGTAGTTTTTAACTGTATGACGTAACTGTATGTGACACTACATTACATACTGTACTTGTTTTTGTCATATTTCATTTAAAACTGCATAAAAAGACATATAATCACTAATTTGTACAATGTACGGACAAAAAAAGAGTGGTTATGGAAGTGAAAATTTTACACTAGCTTCAAAGGCAGAATGGATGAAATTCACATGCGCACACGCTTTTCAGAGTAACCACACAATTTCTGTCGCCTTTGAAGCAAGTGTAAAATTTTCACCTTTTCCCGGTCCTTTTTTCCATTACGCCGGCTTTTTCCAGCCGTATATACCCACACACTGCACCCTCTTTTCGAAACTGGCTATGACTTACAGATGTCATGTTTTTTTTTTTTTTGCAGCTAAGTCTTTTCTCTTCTCTTTGTCTTATTGTGATTCCTATTCATTACCTGTGAAATTGATACAACATAAATTAATAGAACTTTCTGTTTAAATTATTGATAGTTTGTAACGTTGCTGTATTTTTGCCTAGGAGTTCCTTCTGTAGTCACAGTTTTTTTATTGTTTCACGTGAGTTGTTATGGTCATACTAAAATAGTCTCTTTTTTTTTCTTTTTACGGTAACCCTTTTCATAGGCCTTCATTGGTCAATTCACATTAACATTGTGTGTGTTGTGTGTGTTAGGTGGGCTGGAGCAGTGCAAGAGACTACTACACGTTTCTCTGGTCTCCCATGCCTGAAAACTACACAGAGGGATCCACTGTTCACCGAACTATCATTTTTCAGGGTATATACATAAACACATACACTCACACACATAAAATCACCACATATACCCGATGCAGTATGCAACAACAATTAGGGTAAGAAATTATTTTATACCTCTATATACACAGTTGAAGTCAAAATTATTAGCCCCCCTTTGAATAATTTTTTTTTTTTTATTCCCCAAATGATGTGTAGTAGAGCAGGGAAATTTTTACTGTATGTCTGATAATATTTTTTCTTCTGGAGAAAGTCTTATTTGTTTTATTTTGGCTAGAATAAAAGCAGTTTTTATTTTTTTAACACAATTTTAAGGATGAACTTATTAGCCCCTTTAAGCAATTTTTTTTTAATACTCTACAGAACAAACCATCGTTATACAATAGCTTACCTAATTCCCCCAACCTGCCTAGTTAACATAATTAACCTAGTTAAGCCTTTTAATGTCACTTTAAGCTGTATAAAAGTATCTTGAAAAATATCTAGTCAAATATTATTTACTGTCATTAGGCAAAGATAAAATAAATCAGTTATTAGAAATGAGGTATTAAAGCTGTTCTATTTAATAATGTGTTGTCAAAATCTTCTCTCCGTTAAACAGAAATTGGAGTAAAAAATAAACAGGGGGGGCTAATAATTCAGGGGGTAAATAATTCTGACTTCAACTATATATATATATATATGTTATGTAAATTACATATTTTTTAAAGTAATATTTTTAATAGGAAGCTAAGCTATACAATATTATATTTGTCCATAAACATTAGAATAGTCAGTACTGAAGCCAAATCTGGAGCTTATCCAACAAAATAACTTACGATGACAGTCCAAAAAATAGTACATCCAGTTATAGAAAATGTTAAAAACAAATTTAAAAAAGAGGACAAATCAAGAGAAGTAAAAATTTAGTTGCAATTTTGTATGTTGTATTTTATTTAATTTTTTTTGCTAAATTTTGCTTTAATTTAATTGTATTATCTTTCAGTTTCTAAATATGTTTGGTGATTAAAATATTATTTTAATAAATATATCTGTTTAATAAATCTCTTTTGTTTAAATGTGTCAAAATACATCACCTATATTCACTGATAAATTGATAAAAATAATAATTTACATAATGGGGTGTACATAATTATGCTGAGCAATGTATATATATATATATATATATATATATATATATATATATATATATATATATATATACCTTGAATAGAAAAAATAAAAACTAATGCAAACTATTAAAAAGTTCTGCAGTGATGCTAAAAATAAATTAATTAAAAATTTTTCTCAGCTGAAATAGAAATGTAAATACCTTTATTTAAAACTGCAACTGCTTAAATTTGATCTTTTTATTATTCAGCAAATATTTACCTAATTTTTTTTTCACTTGAAATTTTATGTTGTTAAAATTGTATTGTTGGTATGTCTAACTTTTGTTAATATTTTTTAATTATAAATTACAAAATTAAACTTTTGTAATAAAATGTTCTGCATGCTTTTTCCTAGGTTATTATGTCCCTCGCAGTGATGGTGAATTTTATCAGTTCTGTTATGTCACACATACGGGTGAAATCAGAGGTGCGAGCACACCGTTCCAGTTCCGCCCAGCTACACCCACAGGGGAGGAGCTACTAACGGTGGAAGATGATGGAAACTCAGACATACTGGTTGTGACGACAAAGACTGGGCTTCTTGAGGTATGCATTATATAAAAAATGTATATTGATGTCACCTCAACTGACTTGTTTTATTGCATAAGTGTAAAGAAAGGTTTAATCCTTCCTATGATTTGTTGTGGTAATACCAGTAAATCTAATGTAACAAAGTGAGAAAAAACAATGGTCAGTTACAAAGTACATATATATATGTATATATATATAATTAAAGGAATGCATACAATATATAAGAAATGGCTGTTCAGTTTGGTACTGAAAAGCAGGAAACAAGTTTATTAACTGAAAATTATGAATTTTCCCAATGTTTGTTAAATTAAAATGTGGAAAATATCTGTTTAGTTCAGAAATGATTGTTTAAAAAATTATTTAATTCAAAGTTTTAGCCAAGGAAGCCAATTTTGCAATTTTCTTAGTCAATTGTTTCCCAATAATATTGTGTATATTTAAGCCAAGTTAAAACAATAAAGTTTTTGAATGAAGGTTTTTATTATTAACGGAAAACTAAACCACACAGCCTTGTGTGAGTGAACAAATGTGTTTGAACATAACTCAAATTCATCACATCCACGAGTTCTGCTGTGTGCAAAAATATACTAAAGGAGAATGTCCAGCCATCTATTAGTGACCTCAAGCTGAAGTGAACTTGTGCACACCACCAAGCTTACTTCTGAATGGCTGTAGTAAAGGTAAATGAGGACTTTGGAATGGCCTAGTCAAAGTCCTGACATGAATCCATTTGAGATGCTGTGGCCTGTTCTTAAAAAGTTGGTTTATGCTCAAAAACGCTCCAATATGGCTGAATAATGACAATTCTGCAAAGATGAGTCGGCCAAAATTCTTTCACAGTGCTGTAACAGACTCATTGCAAGTTATTAATAATGTGTGATTGCAATTGTTGTTGCTAAGGGTGGCCCTACCAGTTCTTAGGTTTAGGGGCAAACACATTTTCACACAGGGCTATGTAGTTTTGTATTTTGTTTTCCATTATTAATAAAACCTTCATTTAAAAACTGCATAATGTTTTTACTTGTGTTGTTCTTGACTAATACTTCAATTTGTTTGATAATCTGAAACATTAAAGTGATGCATGCAAATAAAATAAGAAATCAGTAAGGGGGCAAATACTTTTTTCACACCACTATATAAACACACACATTTAAATATATTTATTTTTTGTTTAGTACTGAAAAGCATTGATTTAAAACATTTTCAGTCCAAATGTAATGTATTATTTTATTTAATATTTGCATTTGCTGAATTTTAATTAACTTATTACAGTTAAACGCCATTATTTTAGCAGCATTTTAGTTAAAAATTTTATTTAAAAAACTATGTCAAGCTTTTTTTTGAAAGCCTTCCAGATCTTTCATCCTGCATTATGGTCAGATGCTGTCTATGATCAAGTAGCAGCAGCACATCTGACTAGGTTATGTAAACTCATTTACATCTGTTTTTTTTTTTTTTTTTAACTGTTTTTGTGAGCAGCAGCGTGTAGAAGAAGTTCAACAAGAGTGCAAAGAACTGCAGAAAGCACTCCGGCTCCTCACACAGGAGAGAGATCAGCTTCAGGAGAAACAGAGACAACAGAACCAGGTACTAAACACACCTTCACAAATAAAAGAGACCAACCAATGAAGCAGCAAACACACACACACAGTGTTTGAGCAGCTTGTAACACACCAGAGATCACAAGTTCAAGTTATCTACAGATCAAAGCGCTTTCCTGTGCGTGTGTGTGAACATTTGTGCTTTAAGACTTTCTGTCTCCAAGTGTAAAACGCATCTCTGTTTGAATGACTCTGAACTTACTCCCACAGAGCACTTTATCTTATCAGATAATGGCAGTGTGTGTGTGTCTCGGTGTGCATTACTGACCTTACCCATAAAGTCATGTGATTTATCCATACTTAATTCTGACTGTGCTGAGGACAATTTACTGGGAGTTTGAGAAAAACGGATTGAGAGAAAAGTTTACGTGGGCATTTGTTATGGTGGTGCCGTACTGACCACAGAGCGTAGAGGTGACGTCAAATATGAGCACACAGCCAGGAGTTAATGTCCATCAAAACCACTCAACAGAGAAAAAGAGACCTACCCAGTCACTGACACAACAGCAGCCAGTCACGCGATCTCTCTCTCTCTCTCTCTCTCTCTCTCTCTCTCTCCTTCTTTCGTTCTTTTTTTTTCTTTCAGTTTATTTTTGACCACATTTCTGGGTACTATTATCAAGTTTTTGAAATGCCACGCATGAAAATGTCAGTGCCACAGCTAGATAGATGTTACTGAAGTGTCCCAAGAAACACTTTGAAAAGCGAAGCATAGTTTGAAATAGAGAATTATTTTTGTTAGAAACACCTTGTAAATGATTTACTTTGCATTAGGCTTGGGTGGTATCTAAATTTTGATAACATCAAACCTTTTCCCTATTGTACCTCGATATACGGTATTACCGTGCATAAAAAAAAAAAATATATATATATATATATATATATATATATATATTATGTCATTAAACTGTTGAAAAACTGAATACCAAACTCTAATACTGAAACAAATAGACAAATAGAAGTTTATAAAAAAGTGTAAATACAACAGTCAATCAGAATTACATTAACATAAACGTCCAGAATAGTTTTCTTGCACACAAATCAATTGTATTTTACCATGTCCTTAAAAAAACTTTTTGGACCTAGATGTTGTTGGTCTTGGATCTGGAGGCATTGAAACTGTTGTGCTGAGTGGACTCGGGTTCATCCTCACAGCAGTTACTGGATGGTAGTTTTGTTTATGCAACTTTAGATTCGAGGTATTTTCATCTCACGCTGTCACCTTTTTGTTACACAATTTGCAAATTGCCTTGTCCGTATTTACCGCCTCTGCATTCTCGTTTGGTCGAAACCTGAAATACTGCCAAACTGCAGAAGTTGTGTTTTTTCGAGACCAGGTCACTTGGTCCACAGCTCACCATCTTTCCCCAGCTCTCTCTTTCTCCTCCACGCTGTCCTGTGATGACGACCACACATGCGCGTTTTTAGACATTAAATAAATTATATTTAATATTTAATCCTTGTCTCATATATAAGTGCACTGTTTTTATGATAGTATAACTGTATTGAAACTAATACCGCTGCTATTTTTAGATACCGCGTTATACCATATTACCACCCAAGCCTACTCTGCACATGTTAAAGTTTAAATCTTTAGTCAGGGATTTTGGAGAGAGTGTGACAGATTTTCTTTTTTATTGTTATTATACACACACACACACACACGAACACACATTTAATTCATTTTATTTGAAATGACTAATACTATTAGAATAACACAGCATCCAAATAATTGTAAGGAGCCCATAATGTTTCACAGTACAAGCAGCATGCAACCATTGATGATCTTTTGCGTGGCACTATTAGACACTCAATCCATTCTGCGTGCAGTATTAAGTAAATGGATTAAGGATAGAGATGGCATTGTCTTCTCCACACATGAAGACTGCCTATTATTGCAGATACAGAACAATACTTTGCAATTTGTTTAGAGTCTTTTTTTTACTGAGTCCGGCAATTTGTAGTCCCCTCACACACAGTTTATGAACGTGCCCTAGACTACCGTAAATTAAAGCCACCAACTTTTTGTTGTAGCCACACACTTTCAGAGCATTCACTAATGGTTGATATTTCAGCATTTTTTTCTGAATAGCACAGATCCATGTATGAGTCAAAACAGCAGCCTACTTCCATAATCAGAATGTTTTTTTAATACTTCATCCACAACAACAATATCAGGAGTGTTTGGAAAATCTCTAATGACAGTACTCAGAACATGTGCATTACTGCTCAATGATGGAAACCAGTTCATTCGTACAGTCTTGTTAGTGTATAGTGCACTGTGCACACTGACTCTGTCCACCTCTTTAGCTGTGATGTTCACAATGCGATCGTGACGTGCGATGTACATACCTTTGAACGCGGGGCAGCCGTTCATTATGTGTGCTGTTGATTCCACCGTTCTAACGCTATGTAATAAGCAGAAGGGCTCGTGGTGTTTCGGGTACCACACGGACAGATTAAACTTTGTAGGAAGTGTTTGTAAACAAGCTCTAATAACAAACTTAATAATAGTGTGGTCAATAGCGGGGTTGTGTAGCGCAGTGTGTGAGGCTGTGTGATCCGCGCTTTGCAGGCAAGCCAGTTTGCCCTGAAGCCGCAGATGAGTCCAGTAACTGCGCTGCTGTGTATAAAAGTGCTGGAGAATCTCATACCAGCACGTCCTGCCCTTCAGCTCCTTCTTTTCTCCACCATTATCTAAAGTTGCTTCAGCAGATGTGTTATCAATGTCCATGATCGCCTCATCGCTGACTTTCACCTGCTGTCCGCTCGTGTTCCTCCAGGTCAGCTGTATGTTATTGCTGCTGCACAAGTCATTCAGGTCCGGCAAGTCTGAGCGCACTCCAAATCCCACAGACGCTGTATCCAGCCTACCATTGAGTTTCTTTCTGAATCCTAAGAAACTTGGTTCTCCTTCAGCTGCATATGGCACCTTGCGTTTACCCAAATCCAGAAGGAGTGAGCTCCGGGCTAGCCTTTGTACTGTCGGGTCATCGCTGTTCAACATGTGCAATAGATGGTTTATTCTAGTAGCTGTATAGATCCACTCGATATTGGGAAACCCAAGTCCGCCCTCTGTTTTGTTAGTGAATGAAATACTTCTTGTCGTGTGTGTATTAAGACATAACCATTTTCGTGCCAGCTGCACAGCCTTATCATTCATTTGCTTTAAAGCTTTCTTTGAGATGTGTACGTTAGCAAACAGATGTTGTATTTTGGAGAGAGCGATCTCACGAACTGCTTGGAGGTTTAGACAGGCTGGTAAAGGACAGCGATCTATTTTGTCCAGTCTGCAAAAATATTCATTGCAGATTTCATTCAGTTGTTCTTGCCATTCTCCAGCTACGTTAAATTTATGTCCAAGGTAACTATAAGTCTCATGTCTGGCATAAACTCATTTCCCGCATTTCCTGAGATTGTAAACACAGGAGGATGGTGTGTTTACTCAACTCACTTAGCGTGACAGCAGATCAATAAACTTACTACACTTTGACAAATATTGCAGCTGTTGGACAATATACTGTACTGTTTAGGCTTTTTAGGTAAGAATGTAGTTGTTTAGATTGCATTTATGCAGTTTATTTATAAAGATAGTGCCTTTTTGAAAATATTTTTAATTTCAGATTTAAAGCGCCATCCACAAGATTGCGACAGAGACTGCATAATAAGCCCTAAGGACGAAAAACGCTGAGTGATTACAGAATACAGCTGATCAAATCATTATAAAACGTTTGTATGTTGTAGTGCTGTATTTATACCATAGTAATTGTAGTGTGTTGGGTGTGAGATTGCACTCACATATTAGGAATGTATGTATTTTGTGTTGGCCACTCTTTGGATAACTCTGAGTTACTTTTTGTATGGCCATCTGTTTTTTTTCTAATGAATCTTCCGTTGGGCGAAGCAGTGGCGCAGTAGGTAGTGCTGTCCCCTCACAGCAAGAAGGTCGCTGGTTCGAACCTCGGCTCAGTTGACGTTTCTGTGTAGAGTTTGCATGTTGTCCCTGCGTTCACGTGGATTTCCTCCGGGTGCTCCGGTTTCCCCCACAGTCCAAAGACATGCAGTACAGATGAATTGGGTAGGCTAAATTGTCCATAGTGTATGAGTGTGTGTGTATGTGTAGGTGTATGTGTGTGTGTGGATGTTTCCCAGATATGGGTTGCGGCTGGAAGTGCATCCGCTACGTAAAAACATGCTGGATATCGCACTATGGTCGCACTGTGGCGACCCCGGATTAATAAAGGGACTAAGACGACAAGAAAATGAATGAATGAATAAATCTTCTGTTTTTTATTACTGCAGGCTAGTTCAGTAAAAAAAAAAAAGAATAATGAAGAAATGCATGTGCCGGAAATGTCTTTAGCATTTTTCCTGTTCCAAACACAACAGTATTCTGGTAGTGTATGCACTGCTTTAGCTTTTTCTGGGTTAATTATTGTGATGTCCCGATGGCAATAGCGAAATACTGGAAGAAATCTCTGTAGACTGATGGCATTTCTTAAAATTTTAGCAAAATTATCACGTTTTGTCATCACTTTAGATATTACACTAGAGAATCATTTAAACACTAGCTTTAAATGTGGGGGAAGAATCAACCTTTTCTGCTGTTCTGACGTCAGCTGCAGATGTGATGTGTTTTTATATACATGATCATTCTGGGCGACGCAGTGGCGCAGTAGGTGGTGCTGTCGCCTCACAGCAAGAAGGTCGCTGGTTCAAGCCTCGACTGAGTCAGTAGGCGTTTCTGTTTGGAGTTTGCATGTTCTTTCTGCTTTCACGTAAGTTTTCGTTCTCCGGTTTCCCCCTCAGTCCAAAGACATGCTGTACAGGTGAATTGGGTAGGCTAAATTGTCCGTAGTGTATAAGTATGAATAAGTGTTTATAGATGTTTCCAAGAGATGGGTTGCAGCTAGAAGGGCATCCACTGCGTAAAACATATGCTGGATAACTTGTTGGTTCATTCCGCTGTGGTGACTCCAGATTAATAAAGGGACTAAGCCAAAAAGAAAATAAATGAATGAATGATCATTCTGTTGAATTGTTGTATAAATGCAATATCACAGTCATAGCAGTACAATATGGCTTTGTATGTCTATTATGGGTAGGGCCAGACATAATTTGCAGACATTCTTTGCTATTTCTGCAGAGAATTTTGTAAAAAAATAAAAATAAATCTGTGCATTTAAGCAGAATGATTTTTGGAGTATCATAACTAAAAACTTAATATATTAAACAAAAAAAAATATATATATATATATTTCTTTTTTACTTTTATTTAATGTTTACAATGCAAATCCAATTAGACCCACTTATTTGGTAAACAAAGCAAGTCTCTCATATAATATCTCTACTAAAAGAAAATATTATTTTACAAACTGTATTGTAAATAAATTATATGAACATGTTAATATTACTACTATTTTAACCAATTAATAGTAAAATGAATTTAAAAACTGATTGAAAATTTTTTTTAACACAGTTAAACAAGTAAATACATAATACTCAACTATGGGCTAAAATCTGTGGATTTCTGTGCGCGCAGATTCCGTATGAGCCTACTTATGGGCTACCAAGGCAACACACGCCTCCCACCAATGCCAAAATACAGCCATATCACGCTGCTTCTCGTGTGATATTGCTCATTTACTGTATATGTAGATAGACACTGCTATACTATATACACTGTTACTTCTATTGACTTTACTCATTTGATTAAAATATCTTGTATATATTATAATATAAAATGTTTGAAATTTGTTTAAAATATATGACTTTTATGGCAAAGCTGCCATTAAACGTAACAGTTTTTTTGTGTATGCTTTATATTTGAATTCCCCCAAACTTTTGAATGTGTACATGAATAATATATATAATATATATAGATTTTTCAAGAAAATAGCCAAAGGTGGGATTCAAAAAATGTAATAAATAACTACAATATCAAAGAACAGTGTAGTTCTCTCCGGACCTTCCATTGTTTATTAAATATGTGGTTTATTTAATCGATCTGCCACTTTTTACTATGATTTAACCCATTCCAGAATATTTGCCTTTTTCTCAAGAAAAGTGTAGAATATGCAAAAAAAAAAAGAAACTCTTTCGATTTCATTTGGCTCTGATGTGGTGGTTTTGTTGTTGTTGTTTTTTTCTGCACTGCATGCACATATTTAAAGCTTCAAAAAAGCTACAAAAATGGCAGGAATTAAGTCGATTGGTTTGATGGTCTTTCAGCGCCCTCTAGTGTTTCCTTCTACCTTTTAAAATGCGTAAGTGTGAATTATGAGTGTCACAAAGGACAAAGAACACCACAAATAAAACATTAACACTTTTATATAACTCTCTCTCTCTCTCTCTCTCTCTCTCACACACACACACACACACACACACACACACACATTAGTCACTCAAACTATTTTCATACACCATAAGTGTGCTTGTGTCTGTTAAACTGTCAGAACTCGCATATGAAAATAGACTTCCTCTTTATCGTGAGAACATAAGCATATATTTTGTGGCTGCTAATTTTACGACCACACATTTTATTTGCCTGTGCTGTAATTCCGAAACATCATTGGCCGTAAAACACCACGAGTCACCAGATTAGCTGGAGGACAAGGCGTATATGCATGCTTTCAGAACCAGATGTTACTGTGATTTACAGATGATGAATTTTAAATATGAACCACTGCTTCAAAAGTGAAATCGAAGCCCCCGCCTGTACAAATGACATCATATTGTTGGGAAATTTGATTCAGGATTAGTTTTTTATTTACCTGATAGACTGAATCAGGCTTTTCTGAATCAGCTGCATTTCAGCCGCAGTTTTTTTTTTTTTTTTTTTTTGAGCACTTAAAATTTGTTTTGTTCCTACTTTGATGCCAATGGTTACAGGTTTCCAACATTATTCAAAATATATATTTTTTGTGTTTATAGAACAACAACAAAAAAAGATTAAGCTGACGGAAAGAGCTGAGTAAAATATTTTTGGGTAAACTGTTCCTTTAAATCTTAAACAAGAACATTATCAAGAGAGTCAGTCATTGTCATAGTCATTGGACTCTTTGTGACCAGCAGTGTTGGGTGTATTATTTACTGTAATTAAATTACTTATCTGTAAAATTTAAAGTAAGGGGTCACTTTTTTCATATTTTTGTCATTTAATTACAGTTACTTATAATGTATTAAATACTATAAATAACAGGGTTATTGAATTTCCTGAATATCATGGAATTTTAAAAGGTTTCTTCCAGAAATTGAAAGAATTTTATAAATGATTTATTTTTTGTATACCCTGTTGCTCAACACTTTGTTTCACGTGTTTTGTTCTGGTTAAACTATTTTTCACCATTTTAATCTTTTTCCACTAATCAACCAATAATCAATAATAAGATTTAGATAACACAGTAGATAACTTCAGAAGAGTTTGCAATCTAACATCAGATGGAAAAAACTGACAATATTTTTATTAGTAGTTTGAAAGAAATGTTATCAGAACTTTAGAAATAAAAATATTACAATTTTACAGTAACCCGTACCTAATGCACATCTGTTTCATTTTTGGGACAATTTGGAATCAGTATTAGCCATTACTGCTTTTTGCTTATAAATAAAACTGTTAAATTGTTTTGATTAGCTGTAAGGTTTGATTGATAGCATCCGATATCCAATGGCAGGAGCTGCAAAAAAGCCTGATTGAAGAGAAGGAGGAGGCTCAAAGCAGGGTGAGGCAGCTTGAACAGGACCTGCTAAAGATCACACAAAAAGCTGTTCTTAAAGAGACTGAACTTGACTGGTAAGGCCTTTACACATATTACCTAATATAAATATTTTTTTAATTTACAGAGGTGTTGTAATATCTGAGCAAATTGTTTAATTTCATTTAATTAATTAAAAAACAAATTAATTTAAACATTTTAATACACCTTAATCTTTGTCCTTCATCTTCTGTTACACTTTCACTCACAAATTTCATTATATAACTAGATTTATTTTATTATTTGACTTTATCATTATTTGATTTGATCATTTTATTTACTTTTCATAGTATATACATATATAATGTGTGTGTGTGTGTGTGTGTGTGTGTGTGTGTGTGTGTGTGTGTGTGTGTGTGTGTGTGTGTGTGTGTGTGTGTGTGTGTGTGTACACAAACAGTTGAAGTCAGAATTATTAGAATTATTAGCCCCCCTGAATTATTAGCCCCCTGTTTATTTTTTTCCCTAATTTCTGTTTAGTGGAGAAAAGATTTTTTCAACACATTTCTAAACATAATAGTTTAATAACTCATTTCTAATAACTGATTTCTTTTATCTTTGCCATGATGACAGTAAATAATATTTTACTAGATCTTTTTCAAGATGCGTTCATACAGTTTAAAGTGACATTTAAAGGCTTTCTATGCCCTGGTATAAATATACAGTTGAAGTCAGAATTATTAGCCCCCCTAAATTATTAGCGCCCCTGTTTATTTTTTTCCCCAATTTCTGTTTAATGGAGGGAAGATTGTTTCAGCACATTTCTAAGCATAATAGTTTTAAAAACCTATTTCTAATAACTGATTTATTTTATCTTTGCCATGATGACAGTAAATAATATTTTACTTGATATTTTTCAAGACACTTCTATGCAGCTTAAAGTGACATTTAAAGGCTTTACTAGGTTAATAAGGTGAACTAGGCAGGTTAGGGTAATTAGGCAAGTTATTCTATAATGATGGTTTGTTCTGTAGACTATCGGAAAAAAAAATTAGCTTTAAGGGGCTAATAATTTTGTCCCAAAAATTGTTTTTAAAAAATTCATAACTGCTTTTATTCTAGCCAAAATAAAACAAATAAGTCTTTTTCTAGAATTCTAGAAGAAAAAATTTTATCAGACATACTGTGAAAATATTCTTGCTCTGTCAAACATCATTTGGGAAATAGTTAAAAAAGAAAAAAAAAAATCAAAAGGGGGCTAATAATTCTGACTTCAACTGTATGTGTATGTTGTGTGTGTTGTGTGTGTTGTGTGTGTTGTGTGTGTTGTGTATGTTGTGTATGTTGTGTGTGTGTGTGTGTGTGTGTGTGTGTGTGTGTGTGTGTGTGTGTGTGTGTGTGTATATATAAAATTATTATTTGCTGTTTTTTTTTCGTCTAGTCTAAGAGACAAGTTGCAGAAGGTAATATCTGAAAGGGACAGCTTACAAACTCAGCTGAAGAATGAAAGAGACGAAAGGGAGCTTTACAAAGTGAGTGTGTGTGTGTGGTATCTACTGGTTATAAAGCATAAGGTCATGTGTTTACAGATGTGACACACACACTGATCCATGTTTTCTGTGCATGCTCGCAGTCTCATGTGCGCAGTGCTGAGCTGGAGAACACTAAACTCAGTGCAGAGCTGCAGATGCTGAAGGCGGTGGAGCTGAACAGAGAGGTCACCATCGCACAGTACCAGGAGGAACTGCACAGACTGCGCACTGAGAGAGACACACACCCTGCTGAAACTGTAAGAAGACATGATAATGTCATAGATGTATGTCAAGTTTATAAATTTTGATAATTCTTGATTTTAATATTTAAAGTTCTCTATTGAGTTGCTTTTACAGTATTTATTCGAAAAACAGAGTAAAAACTGTAATATTCATTCATTCATTTTCTTTTCGGCTTACTCCCTTTATTAATCTGGGGTCGCCACAGCGGAATTAACCGCCAACTTATCCAGCACATGTTTTATGCAGCGGATACCCTTCCAGCCGCAACACATCACTGGGATACCCATACACACTCATTCACATACATACACTAAGGACAATTTAGCCTACCCAGTTCACCTGTACCGCATGTCTTTGGACTGTGGGGGAAACCGGAGCACCCAGAGGAAACCCATGCAAATGCAGGGATAACAATGCAAACTCCACACAGAAACGCTAACTAACCCAGCTGAGGCTCGAACCACCAACCGTCTTGCTGTGAGGCGAAAGCACTACCTTCTGCGCTACTGCGTCGCCCAAAACTATAATATTATAAAATGTTATTATACCTTAATATGATAATTTTCTGTATAATTCCATATTAAGATTAATTTTACTCATGATGAAAAAGCTGATTTTTTTACGAGTATGCTGTGTAATTCTACAGTAATCATTCCTAGACACCCATATTAGCTGAAGCCATTTTATTAATTTTGTAATGTTTAATTGAAACCATGACAGACAAACGCATTGTGTGTTTGTGGGTAATAAGATTTATTTTAAAAGCAATTAATTCTATTGAGCATGGATACATTAATTATAATGAGGAATGCTCTGATCAATCAACCAGAGATCGGTATTGGCCAAAAATGTTTCATGATTTTCTGCGGCAAAAATCCTCATCTGGATTTTGTTTTAAGTTGTATTTTTTATTCTTTTTTTGCCATTTTGCCTTTAATTTCACAGGATAGTAGGTTGACAAGAAGTGAAGTGGGAGAAGGAGGGGGGTAGTATTGGGAAAGCTCCACAAGCCGGGATTCAAACCTGGGATGCCCAGAGTGCTGCCACACCATATGTCAACACACTAACCACTGGGCTACCGCACCAATGACATTTAATTTCTGCTTGAGCTAATCAATAAATGCTTAAAAATATATCTATGAAAATATCCTTAAAAGAGCAAAAATATAATACATATATATATATATATATATATATATATATATATATATATATATATATATATATAAATGAGTTTTATATTATACATATGAAATGAATCATAAGATCTATTATTAAAATCTAAATATGAATAATAAATTAGCACAAATCAGCTTAAAAATCAAATCACCAAGACATCTGAGAGGTTATTTGGATTATTATTTGCTAAAATATATTTGCTTTGCATCACTGAACTGAACTACATTAGACAATAAATAAAAAAGTAAACTGTTGTTTTAGGTTGTTCTTTAACTGTAGTTTCAATCAAATAAACGGAGCAAAATAGACATGAGAGATTTCCTCTTCCTGATTTATTGTACATTCAGGGTCTCAAAGAGCAGTTGCGTCAAGCGGAGGAGCAGCTCCAGGCCACGAGGCAGCAGGCAGCCATGTTGGGCTCTGAGTTACGTGATGCCTCCGGTGGACGAGATCGCACCATGACGGAGCTGTACCGTGTCCGTCAAGAGGCTGAAGAACTTCGAGCCCATTTAGCTGAAGCCCAGGAAGAATGCAGGCATGCTCAGGATCAGTTGGACAGGATGAAGAACCAGACTTCACAGGAAATGGTAAACATGACTTACACAATATAGTTATGCTCCCTTTGAAAAGGTGGCAAATAAATCTCTGGTGTCCCAAGAACCATGAAGCATGTGTGAGGGTGTGTTCCTTTAAATGCAAGAAGGTGTGTTCCTTCAAATGCAAACGAGCTCTTACTTTCCTGTAGAGGGTGGAGCTTTTACAGACTGTTCTGATAGAAACAACAAAACAAGCCATTCTTATGCAGCCAATATGTCAACAATGATTAGTTGCAGATTAAAGCCTTGCATGTTCAAACCTGATTCAGACAACGATGGAGAAGATGAGGGCACTGACAACTGTTAGATGTCATTTTTCAACAGTTAATGGACACATTTATGTAGTTGTCGAGGAGTAATGTTGATTTAGTTAAAAGACTAACATGTTACTGCTTTATTTGGAAATAAACATTACACTTTTAGTCAACTTTCACTGAAACTTTACAGAAAACATAAAAAGTTGGAGCTAAAGTGGATAATACCTGTGTGTATACAAATTGCATTTGTGTTAAGCTTTTTGGGATACCATTGTAGATCAAGGGGTGGTAATTTATAATAAGTTTAACATCAGAACAGCATGTATATTTTATTGTATGGTTGGTTGCAAATAAAACATTGTCAGAAATACTATGTAAACCAATAATAGCACTTTTGGAAACATGAGCCGTTTTACCACTATCACGCTGAACCGTTTCATTCCATGCCAATCCGGGCCAGACAGCATGGATACGGTTTCATTTTCAACTGTCGTGCTGCAACAAAGCTCTTTAAAACATTACACAAAACGCATTAGTAGTTGCCTTGGTAACGCAATGTTAACGGCTCTTTTTGTTCAATTAAATTTAAATAATAGCTGAAACTAGTTTTTTCATGTTCATGAAAACGAAAGCAACCGTGTGACTAAGCACTGTTATGCCACTCTCTCATTTAGGGGTGTCTAAATATACATTTCACAGCACCCGTATTTTAGTTAGAGATCATATGTTGCGCGGCTCTGGGCAAATTTTATTTGGACAGAAAATTACCAAAATGTAATATGATGATTGAAAATGATTAGAGCGGGAAAAAATTATATATTTTAATGCAACAATAATAGTTCAGTTGTATTATAGTAGCAGAAGGACAGGCCTTGTAAAAAGTGAGCGGGCACTATCACTAATAAAAAATATAGCACTTAAATCATTTCATTTTTAACAATCAACTTAATTCCACAGCGGTTTATATCAAAAGTGGATAATATATAAAATATATTACATTTTGATGGTAAAATATAACCTTTTAAGTGATGGCTGTTAATTGTTTCAGTATTCAAACATTAACGTTAACATTAACATTAACGAATGCAGCAAGTGAAATAAAAAATGAATATGAAACAACACATATAAATCAGGATATAAAGCATATAAAGCACAATTATTTTTAGCAGAATGCTACTCTTTTATCTTTGTATTTTTATCACTTTATTTTTGTTGTTTTATTTATTTTTTTGTCTTCATAATTAACTAAGCTATAGACAAATTCCTGCTTGATGTTTTTGAAAATATTTAAATATTTTGCGATACCCAGTATGAGATCACCAAGAACAAAAACACAGAAAAATGTTACAAGCCCCCATAAATGTCCAACTTATGTGTAACTGAATCACATAATGGCCTGTAGCTGAAATGATGAAAATCGCTCATTTTATTTTTATATAACATTTGTCAAAATGTAGTGATACATTTTTTTGAGTAAAAGCAATACAGACATTTAAGAATCCATATTTATTTAATTTATTCATTCATTTGATTTGTTTATTGGTGCATATTTAGGCTAAAATTTAAATCATACAACAATACCTTGAACAGCTACAGTACCACACCGTAAAGCTATTAAGCAAAGTCCAAAATATTAAAGAAAGAGTTGACTTTCAGGTGGTCTCGCTAGTAAATTAACAAGTCTTCTCATCTTTGAATTAAAAAGTGCAATTATTTTCTTGTTGTTTAAAAGAGTCTGCAAGTTTGTGTTTCATGGATATAGCGATGATGTTGATTGTAGACAACAATGATGTTAAGCGTGTCATTCGCTCGATGCACAGCAGGAAAAATAGTCTTTCAGCAGTGCATGTAGTCGCTGGTAAAGTTCTTATATGGATCAGAGCGAATTTTTGTGCTACCAAATACAGCACTGCATGCAATAAACACGCGCTCAGTCAGGCGAATTAAAGGTCTCATTGTCTAAAATGTCAATCAAATTAATCAAGCTCTAGCCACGAATAAAACAATATATAATAATATTAATACAAATATATTTATAATAAATTTTATTATTTAAGATTTTAGATGATGGGTTAGTAATTATACATGGTTGATTATATTCAAGTCAATGAAATAAATACTGTAATAAATAAAATATCATCGTAAGAATGGGGTAAGTGCTCTCTGGTTTAAAAATCCTTTTCAAACTGTATCGTTTAGACCTGTATCGTTTTTTTATATGAAATCTAGTGTACTTGTGGATGTCTGATGACTAGCGCGCATCTGCTAAACCAGCTTTGGTAACTTGGCAACAGAGCCGCGACGTCAACACACCTGGCCCAAAATGGTTTGTTATCGTGCTGTGACGTTCCAGGCTCAGTGGAGAAACAACCATAACCGTACCGAAGTCTTCTTATAACGGTTCGGCACAATAGTAGAAAAGCAGCTAAACAGGACACATAACTTTCATCAAACCTCGATTTCAATGTACAGCAACAAGGACAATTTTTTAGACATAACATAAACCCTGAGATGACCATCTTTCTCTGCCTTATGTTCTGACTGTGATTTATTTTAGCTTCAGGGCAGGGCTGGTGGAGGAGTGGGTGTGGCCTCAGAGCTGGAGGCGGAGCTGCAAAAGGAAGTCGAGGAACTAAAGTTGCGGCTCAATATGGCTGCAGAGCACTACAAAGAGAAGTATAGAGAGTGCCAACGTTTGCGAAGACAAGTCACCAAATTGACCCAGCAACAGGAGACACAGCAGGGAGTGAGTAACTGCAATAATAGGTTGATATAGGTCTAAGGGTCATGAAACAGTATCGCAAATTCATATTTTGTTTTTGGCTAATAAGTCTAGGCTGCGAAATCGCCTACTTCTCAAGAAGTACAGCATATGAATTCAAATGTGCTATTCGGCCATTAGAAAAGTATGTTCTATACAATATGAATGTGAGTAGTATAAATGTAACTCGGACATGCTACATCTACCATTTTGTCATCCTCTTGTGCACTACCCACATTGGCTGCATCACTTCACTACAGTTCATGAAATCTTTCGCAGTGCATCATGGGATAGCACAGCATGCATGGGATGCGTACTTCAGAATCTTGCCATAAGTAGTTGGTCATCCGGGTACTTCTCACATACTGTTTTTTTTTAATTCTATGAATTAGGACATACTACTTGGCTTGCATTCTGTTTTTAGCGTACTGTAAAGCATGGAAGTATGCTATTTCGGACGCAGTGTAAGTCTATTATAAAAACATCTTCTGTATGGTTTATGTAGAGCTTGACTTAAAAATATTCCATGTGTTTTAGGATGCTAATAGGAATGATGCCTCTACAGAAACCACACTGGAGTTACACACCCCAGATGCAGAGACTCCATCAGGTATTTATAAATTGTAGATTTATTCACAAGAAATTCATATTTTATTCAGAAAAGTGCAATAAGAACAGAAAAGAAATGAATAGTATTATTTAAAATAGGACACATTACATTGATGCATTATATTAGATTACATTTACATTTTGAATTCATTTTACATTATATTAGATACATTTACATTACATTTTGTCACATGATTGGCCTTACCGATAGGTAATCTGCCCTACAGTTGCCATGGAACTTTTACTGTGAAAGTAGCTCCATGAAGTAGCTCCATGTTTTCCCCACAAATAGTTTGGCAGAGCAAACAGTAAACTTAACTGTCACTCAGTTAATGTCATGTATTGTGGTGCATTTAAACAAAACAGATTTATTAAACGGGTATATTTATGAAAATAATATTTTAGTCCCCAAGCATATTCAGAAATTGAAAGATTATTAAAATTCAAGAAAAATATTGCTAAAAATAAAAAATACAACCTACAAAATTTCAACTTAATTTGTATATTTGTATATATATTGAAAGCCATTATTGAAAGCTCCAGATTTGGCTTCAGTACTGACTAATCTAATGTATATACACAAATATAATATTTAATAGCTTCCTGTTAAAATATGAATTTAAAATATAGATATATGAGAGATGTACTGAACACTGTAATTCAGAGTTGGTGGTAATTGCTGATGCTGTGTTATGCGAGTTGTTTAATCTCTACAAGCCAATCCCATACTTGATAAAATCCTGGTCAGAGAATGCTGAAGTAGAGCAGTTGTGTGCAGGTAAAAAATCAGAAATGCCTCTCTTCTTGTCTCCAAGATGTCCAGTTGCAGAAGTGAAAATTTGGGTAACACTTTATTTTGGTCCCTATTGCACATTTTGTTGACTAAAAGTTGCATTGCAACTACATGCCACTTACTTCTCATTTGAGTTATATTTTGCTTAATATCTGTTGATACTGCCCTTTCAACAGACATTTAACTGACAATAAGAAACTTTGCAAGTACGTGTCAACTTGCACTAACCCTATCCCAATGCAATGTAACTTAAATTCAACAAAATGCGTTAAAGGGACAATTAAAATAAAGTCATACCAACACTGGATTGCAGTTTGGGCAAATGTTTACGTTAGATTAAAACTTATGTTTATTTTTTATTATTAAATCATGAAATTAAAGTATATTTTTGTTTGTACATGATGACAATTATACTTCATAGAAATAAATAATTGAAATCAGCAAAAATCAGTATTGGCAGGTATCACACTTACCAAAAAATCAGAAATAGGTAAAGCCATTCATAAAGATTTATATTTTAAGCAAAGTGCTTTCATTTTAACTTCCTGTATATCAAAGTGTGATTGTTTTCTACATTGAAAATTATAAGAAATGTTTTTTGAATAAATGATCAGCATATTTCAACAAAATCATGCAACACCAAAGACTGGAGTAACAACTACTTAAAAATCAGCTCTACAAATAAAAGAAATGACAGTGTTAGTGATATCACTGATTAATATGCTTTGTGTTATTTTAAACAAATCTGAATGTTTTATGCATTTGATTCTCTAATTGGAAAGAATCGTATCCTGCTGAGATTAAAACTGTTGCAAGAGATGTGGAGAAATCAAGGGATGAAGAAGGGAATGAACAAGAGGAGGAAGATGAAGAGGAGGAGGAATGTAGCTTGTCAGTTGAAGCTGAGCTTGCCTGCATGGAGGAGAAATGGAGAGAGCAGTGCACCATCAATGAAAACCTGAAGCTTCTGCTAGCCAATGAGGAGAAGCGGTTTAAAGTATGTAAATGCACACACACAGGAAATCAGATACATGATCCAGGTTGTTTAAATTAAGTGTGAACCATCAGCATTAGAACTGTAATGAATTTCCAACTAAAGCAGGATATTTAATTGCGGGCAGTATTTTATATATACTGTAGCACTTTTTCTCAAAGCAGGAGTCTTAAACTCAATTTACCTGGGGGTAGCTGGAGGCAGAATCTGGGTGAAGCTGGGATGCATTAGGTTTTCCTCAAGAAATTAATTATATTATTAATTAGAAATTTTTTATTTGTTTATTTTTTTGTCTTATTTTGTGTTAAAAAATAAAAATAAAGAGATTTGAAAGGTTCAAACTTTTTAAATACAGAATAAAATGAAAAAATAAACAATTTAAAAATTATGGCAAGGCGAGGCAAATTTATTTATATAGCACATTTCATACACAGTGGCAATTCAAAGTGCTTTACATAAACAAGAATAAAAGAAACAAGTAATAATAAAAATAAAAACAAATAATAAAAATGAGTAAAAACAAAACATAAAAACAGGTAAAATGTGATATAAAAGAATGAAAAAGAAGAGAAAGACATAATAGTGCAATCTGTCAAATGCAGCACAGTAGTAAAGGCACAGCTAAGCAGATGTGTTTTCAGTCTTGATTTGACTGTGCCTAATGTTGGAGCACATCTGATCATTTCTTAAAGCTGATTCCAGCAGCGGGGGGCATAGTGGCTGAAAGCTGATTCACCCTGCTTTGACTGAACCCTTGGAACTTCTAGTTTATATGATCCTAAAGATCTGAGTGACCTGTTGGGTTTGTATTCAGTGAGCATATCTGTAATGTACTTAGGTCCTAGGCCATTTAGTAATTTAAAGACAAGTAATAATACTTTGAAGTCTATTCTGAATGTAACTGGTAGCCAGTGTGAAGACCTGAGGACACGTGTGATGTGCTCTGATTTCCTGGTTTTGGTCAGAATCCTGGCCGCAGCATTCTGGATGAGCTGCAACTGTCTGACTGTCTTTTTAGGAAGACCAGTGAGGAGTCCATTACAGTAATCCACCCTGCTGCTGATAAAAGCATGAACAAGTTTTTCTAAGTCTTCACTGGAGACAAAGCATCTGATTCTTGCAATGTTTTTGAGATGATAGTATGCTGATTTACTGACTGCTTTTACATGACTATTGAAACTCAGTTCTGACTCCAGAGTCACACCAAGATTCTTGACCCTATTTTTTGTTGTTTGACCCTTAAAGCCAAGGTACGCATTCACCTTGAGAACCTCATCTCTGTTCCCAAACGCAATGACTTTAGTTTTCTCTTTGTTTAACTGAAGAAAGTTTTGGCACATCCAACTGTTAATTTCATCAATGCACTGGCAGAGGGTGTCAATGGGGCTGTAGTCATTAGGCAGTAAGGCTAGGTAGATCTGAGTGTCATCAGCATAGCTGTGGTAGGAGATTTGGTTCTTTCTCATTATTTGGCTCAGAGGGAGCATTTAAAGGCTGAACAGGAGAGGTGCCAGAATCGAGCCTTGTGGGACTCCACATGTCATTGGTGTTCACCTCGACCTGTGGTCACCTATACTGACATGGTAATCTCTTTCTTCAAGGTAAGATCTAAACCATTTGAAGACTGTTTTGAGGACTGAGCAGTACCAGCACTGTTAGCTTGCCTAAATCTGTATTTAGGCGTATATCATTGATTATCTTTATAAGAGAGCTCTCTGTTCAGTGACGTGCTCTGAAACCAGATTGAAAATTGTCTAAACAACCCCCTGAAGTTTAAGAACTTGTTAACCTGGTTAAAAACAATTTTTCAATGATTTTGCCAATGAAAGGGAGATTTGAGAATAGCCTGTAATTGCTCAATAGGGTGTTATCCAGGTTGCTCTTCTTCAAGAGGGGTTTAACAACTGCAGTTTTAAGTGAGTTTGGAAAAATCCCTGAAAGAAGTGAAGCATTTACCACTTTTAGAAGATCCATTTCTAAACAGGTAAACACCGTTTTGAAGAATGATGTAGGGAGCGTGTCAAGACTGCAGGTTGATGTTTTTATAGCTTGCACAGTCTCTTCTAAGATTTTATCATTAATTGCCAAGAAATCAGACATAATGTCGGATTTCTTAAGTTGTGGTTGAGCTTGTTTGATATCGACACAACTTGGCTGATTGGATGAGCTGATTGCCTTTCTGATATTATTGATCTTGTCAGTAAAGAAATGAGCAAACTCAGTACATTTGCTTTCAGAGAGTAGTTCACTTTTAATCCGACTGGGGGGGTTTGTGAGTCTCTCTATCGTTGCAAAGAGTGTGCCAGCATTATTTAAGTTGCTGTTTATAAGGCTTGAAAAGAAAGTCTGCCTAGCAGTGTTTAGTTCCATATTAAAAGCATGAAGACATTCTTTATAGGTATTTTAATGGACTACTAGTTTCGTTTTTCTTCACATACGCTCAGCTTTTCTGCACTGTCTTTTCATCATTTGAACTCTTGGTGACCTTGTCCAAGATCCCTTTTGCCTGCCAGGCATCTTCTTGACTTTAACAGGAGCAATGTCATCTATGATAATCTTAATTTTAGAATTAAACAAATCAAGGAGAGAATCAACAGAATCTGCAGATATACTTGGTGCTAGCGATATGGCCTTCATAAACTGCTTACTGGTGTTCTCATTTATGCATCTCTTTCTGATAGAGACAGATCTGTCTTTAATAGCTGGAGTGATCAATATATCAAAGTAAATACAGAAATGATCAGATAGTGCTACATCCTTAACAACAGTCGATGAAATGTGTAAAAACCCTTAGTTATAAGTAGATCAAGAGTGTGTCCACGATTGTGTGTGGGTCCTTAAACATGCTGAGTCAGATCAAAAGTGTTAAAAACTGTCATCAGTTCTTTTACAGCATTGATTTCTGAATTATCAATGTGAATATTAAAATCCCCAGCAATACTAAAATAATCAAATTCAGAGGTTACTATTGATAACAGCTCTGTAAAATCATCAATAAAAGCTGGAGAATATTTTGGAGGTCTTTAGATAATGATAAGTAAGATGCGTGGAGCCCCTTTTAGTACTATACTCTGATATTCAAAGGACAAATAGTCACCAAATGACAATTGTTTACACTCATAGACATTTTTAAACAGGGCAGCGATGCCTCCACCTCTCCTATTAACTCTGCAAACACTCAAAAAATCAAAGATTAAAGGAGCTGCTTCATTCAGAACTGTTGCGCTACAACTGTCATCCAGCCAAGTTTCATTTAAAAGCATAAAATCAAGGCAATTTGTGTTGAGAAAATCATTGACTAAATTAACACTTATTGTTAAGTGATCTGTTGTTTAAAAGTGCTAACTTAACAGTTTTAGCTGTTTTTTCTATAGTTGTCTAAGATCTACATTTAATAGACACCAGATTTGAATTATTTGCTTTACGGCCAAAAGAAGTCTTTGGTTTTCTGTCATTTAATACAACACATATCTGCTTAGAGAAAGCTACAGACACACTGGGTTCCTGCTTGCTCTGAAAAAATTTGATAAAGACACTGTTATCTAAGCAGGCCCCTGACACACATCAGTGAGAGCTGTTGTGTTCACCAGCTGAAGATGGGGCGTTGTTGTTTGGGCCCTGGCGGTATGGCAAAAGTCGGAGGGCTCTTCCAGGTGGGCTCATAGGTGGTTGTGGAGCAGGCCGCTTTTTGGTTGGTAACTGGGGGCTTGCGGCAATGGAGTGCGAAAGTTTATTTTCAGCATACACCAATTCCTCCATCTTTTTTGAAAAACCCAAGAGTGATGAGCAAGGTGACAATCAGAACGTATCCGGTGGCAGAGGCTGTGGGACTGGAGATTCTGGCTGCTGAAATATGCTTCCCTGAGGATCATTTTTGAGTGACGAGACTTGATGCTGTTCTGATGGGTCACAGTCTGCCTGTGTTGAGCAGAGGGCAAGTGATGATGTCTCTATCAACATTGGGTATTTTGGCTGCGTGGCATTATGCCTGTCCTTGGGTGATTCGTCAGCCACAAGTCCACTCAGGAGCTGATTTGAAGTCCTGTGGTCATCTGGACATTTGCTAGGTGTGTGTGTGCAATTCAGTGGCATCCACAGCTGATGGATGATTGAGGGAGAAAAAAATATTGTCCTTTTGCACCTTTGCACCAAGTTTGTTTGGATGAAGGCCGTCTGATGTAATCAGCTGTCTTTGGTTCCAGAAGAGATTGAAATTGTCGATGAAATTCAGTCCTTTCTTGTTACATGTTTTCTGGAGCCATAGATTAAGACCAAGAAGCCTTGAAAACATATTTGTCCCTCTTGCAGGGAGTGGTCCACTTATGAACAGCTGAACCTTCAATCTTTCGGCTGTTTCCAAGAGCTCACAGAAATCTTTCTTGAGCAGTTCTGACTGTTCCTTCCGAATATCATTCTTCCCCACATGGATGATAATCCGTTTTGCAGTCTTGTGCTTTTTTAAAATTTTCTCAAGTTCTTTGTTTAGATCAGAAACAGTTGCATGAGGAAAGCAGTATGTCATTGTAGATCTGCTCCTGAAATTCTTGATTATTGAATCTTTTACGACTAGTGTTCTTATCTCAGGTGTGATCGGAGCAGAATGCCGCTGTCTAGTCAGCCTTGAGCCTCTGTTCCATGCAGAATTAGTTGCTGAATCATGCAATCTCTGTCTGACTCCATCTGGGAATTCTTCACCCATATTACTCAAAACTTCATATCTGTTCTGAAGCTGTATTTGAGTCCGAGCTGTATTTGGGGTAGAAGACGCTAATGCGGCAGGTATGATCTGACCCCGCAAAAAAAAAGTTTGTAGAATCTATGCTGATCTTCAAGCTGTGTTGTTTGAACACTGTGCTGATAGGCTCAAGTTAAAATTAGGGTATAAGATATAAAAGCAAGAGTGCAAAGAGTGGAGCAAGACATCTGAACAGTAGCAAAGCAGGAAGAGGGAATAAAATAAGATAATAAATCAATCAGTAATAATAAATAATAATAATAACAAT